TTTTTTTTTTTTTTTTTCGCTCATATAAAGGGTAAAATTTGGTGAGTTGTGTAATAGTGATAGAGAGTTAGTTGTCGGATCTGTAACGTTAATTGTTAATAATAGCTGGAAAAAAATGTGTAACCGTACTAATTATAAGTCAATGAAAGTCTGTCGTTTAACCTCTTGTCAGCGAGTAAACAAGTTTTTAAGACAGATCATTGGAGAAACATGTAAGCTGATAATTTTATGATCCTGAAGGCTATGAAATTTGCTTTTAAAATTTCTGTATGCGAGTTCCTCATTATTTATCCTACAAACAATCATGGATCGTTTAGCAAGGCTGCTCAACGTACTTCAAAACTCCAAAAGACATTCAGAATCTGCTCCTCCAGACAAGTTTGTTATATATATATATTTTTTTGTTTCTCAAACCTTTTATTCATCCAAGTTTTAAAGGCGTGAACGCTGCTAGAAATTCTGCTTCATCTTTGTTTAGTACATAACCAGTGAAGAATCCTCTTACTGGCGGTGACTGAAGGAGTCAAAAGGCAAATTTACTACTTAAATAATTATTCGAATTACTATATTTTTAACTTTAAAAATTAAATTTTTAGCAAGAAAGTGGTTACGTTTGAGAAAGAAAAAAATGCTTTCTTGGAAATCAAGGAGATCTTAATCCAAAAGGATTTACAGTAAGCTTATTTTATACCTTTGTCATCAAGGTCTCCAGTTAAAATATATTTGTGAATATCTTAGGAAGGATGGGCGTTTTAACGATTGTTTTACGCGTGCAGTAGAGCTGTTGTTCTTTTTTGTAAGTCACCGCAATGCAGATGTTCGACTTGTTGCTGAACAATCGTTAGGAACTATTTTTCAGGTGGCTTTTCTATGAAGTATTGTCCAGTTTTCTTTTTGTCAGTGTGATCGTTTATGATTAATTTTTCTGAATACTGAAACATGTAGTCATTATAGTCTTAAGCAATTAATTTGGATACCTTCGAAAATGACTGGATTATTTTAGCATATGGTTGTCGAATCCAACAGCTCTCGTGTAGTTGTTTCTTTGCTGATGGAATTAAAACGCAATGGTGGAGCTCGGTCTTTAGTTGTGGCGTTCAATTTACTGGCAGAAGTTATTGACTTCGTGAAACCGAATAAGACTGGGTGTTACATTTTATTTCCACCAGTTCTGCTTAAGAATTTGCTTTTGTGAATTAATTTTTTTTAATTTTAGCGTGATTGGGGCCCATATCGTTTGCGCGTTGTGCAGGATTGCTCAACGACCTGAAGAGATGGTGCAGAGCTCTTTGGAAAAAATCTTACCAAAAATTTTCTCTGTTTTTGGACGTCAGTTTACAACTCATCGTAGTGATGACTCTTTCGTATGTTTGTATCTTATTTATTAATTTAAGCTAGCTGGTGGCTTAGCATATTTAAGTTTTATATTAACAAAATTCCCTATCGTTTAATTAATTTGTAAGAAGCGTAGTAGTTTGTAGGAGCTGATATTCTTTAAAGTTGCAGAACTTATACGAAATCGCACTAAAGAACCTGGAGCTTTCTGGTTCTTCTAGTCGAGCCGCATCTATGATTATCTTTCAGTTGTCATTATATTTTCCAGAAATCCTCAAAAAATCTTTCAGGCAATTTCGAAGTAGGTTTTTTTGTTCTGACATGCTCCCAGTACTTTTTTTTTTTGCTGCATTCTACTCATTATTCCAGGTCATTTGTTACACGCTCAAGACGAAAATAAAAATATTTTGGTTGGGACATTTAACACGTTAAGGCTGCTTTGGCCTTCAGTTATGGCAAGAAAAGAAGACTTCAGCCTTTGTCATTTTCAAGAAGTGATTTCTCGTTTTACTTTTCCTTTGGATTTTGAGACTTTCTTCTATGGCCAATAATTGTAATATGGAGCATTACTGCTTTTTTCTTGGAAAACTAAATTACAGGTCATTCGAGATGCACTACGTTGTTTATTTTCGCGTTATAATGAAGTTGTCGTTGCATCGTTAGAATTTCTTGAGGCCTTATTCAGCAGTTTCATGAGCTTTGTAAATTCACTTTCCTTCTCAACTGTTGATTTGACATGTCCAGGTGTTGATTGTGCGGAAGATGTAGAATCATTTTCTGAGAAGTCGTATGTGCCAGGTATAATTTATTTCAACATGGTATTTTTCTTTGAAAATTTTTTGGTAAAGCTCTAGTAAAGTTTCTTATCTAAAACGTTTTCAGTATTCGCCTTTTTCTTATAGTTCTATATTTTTATTTTTGGTAAAAATTGATTTCTTAGTTTCTTCAAAAAGTTCAATTGTTTTTTAAATTTTGGTTAATTATCTATTCTATTCTAGACTTTTGAATTCTTAAAACTCATAAAATTTTGTTTCTAGAGTTATCTGTACAAAGCAGTTCCGTAACTCCAAGTTTTGCTGAGCCACTATGTGCCCCACAGCTCTTATCTATTTCAGATGGTTCTTTTTCTTCGAGCGAAAACTTATTTAATTCTACCGATGATGCTGACGAAATATCTTGTAAAGTAATATCAAATTTTTGCATTCTTATTTAGTTCTTTTTCAATGATTATGTTTAAAATCAATTTTAGAAGACACTTTCATCTGTAGATGACGAAGAGATTCTAGACCCTTTGAGGCACGGTTCTTCAGTTTTCTGCGAGGAGGATAATACTGATTCTGTTACATCAATAAAATCTGAAGCGACAACACAGTCGGGTGAAGCCGCATTTGCTGCCACTCAGCTTCCAAGTGATATTTGTAGGTTACAGAACATTTATGCTTATGGAAGTTTTCTGACATGAGTTTTACTTTTGTTCATTCTGTTTAGGTTGTGAATCTTTTGCGGTTTACGCGGCAGTTCTCTTTGCAAGACGCTTTTTACTTTCTGACCAGTGTTTAAGGCAGATACCTGACAGCGATGTGCGAGTAAGTCATAAGATTCTTGCGATGAATTGTTTGGGTCATTTAGCGAGCTGCATACCAAACTTCTTCAGTACACCACTTCGTTTTCCAGGTTTTGTATACCCTGCTACAAAGTTTTTTATCTAAAGATGTTATTTTAGCAGTTTGTCAGTTTAACACATATCTTCCGTTTCTTGCCGGTAATTTCTCTTTGGCATCTGTTTTTGGTGTTTTAGTTGTAGCTTTTTTTCAAACCACTTATATCTAATTTAGGTAAATTGGGGACTCCACTTTTGCGAGATATTCAACTGTTCGTCAACCATGAAGACGATCTTTTAAAAGCGGCTGCAATTACAACAATAGTCAGTGCAACTCGAGCTGCGTTTTATTCTTCATCTGTTGATTTTGCTGGTAAGGAATGACTTATCACTGATTTGTTCGAAGATATTTGTGTTATTCTTTTATTTTTTAGACTGTACCAGTGTGAAATGAAAACAGTGATTCTAGATAGCTTTTTTAATTGAACATGTGTTAATCTGCAAAGATTCTTAATTAATTTTGGAAGAGTTATTGAATTATACGGACAGCTTTTGAATGAGGCATCAATTGAAAATAAGGTTATAGATACCTCGCTCGAAACCTTGCAGTTAAGCAGATTTTCGTTCTCATTTTATAATTTAATGGTTTCGAATTGGAAAACACACTTTTTTGTCGTTTAACATCTGAACTATGTTATCATTTGATGAGGGGGATTTTTAGACGTAGCTGTGCCTTTCAAGGAATGCGTTTTTGACGTTATGCATCTTCGCAAAGCACACTGTAGTCGCGCTTTGCTTTCTGCTGCTAAATCTGCGGGTGAAGTTGTCTCCAAAGTTTGCTTGACAGACGTATTGTGCAAGTTTGCTTGTGAATGTTCAAAAGATAACTACTTTTTGCTGAGGGTAAACTTGTCACTTTTATCGCTTCATAAACATTTTATAACGATTTATTTTTGAAGGTGGGTCTATCTAGGTTGCTGTTTGTGAATACATTGCGAGTATTAAATGGGATGTCTTGGAAACTTCTTTGCCGGATTTCGTTCTTGAAACGTATTTGAGATTATTGGCGGACGCTGAACCAAAAGTGGCTAGAGCGGCTTCTCTTAATTTTCATTTGTGAGCCTTTTATTCTAGTAGACGTTTCGCATAATTGCCTCTGATACTTAAGAACCATTAGTACGTATAGGAATAATTTAAGAGCATTGAAGTCAAGGGTATTGTTTCAAAGTAAGCGCTTGCCTCCTCTCCTTTAATGAGATTTCCAGGCTTGTAACCAATGCCAATTACTGTGAAATCAAAAGCTTTGGTGAAACTGACTGGCCTTGGTCATTACTTTGCCCTGCCTTCCGACGTGAACCATTGGTAAACAATTTATTGACGTAATATTTTTTCATTGTAATTTTTTTGATTTGTGTGTGGTAAAATGAGGCTGGACGTTTTTAGACAGTTGCCATGGGAAAGGAATATAATTTTTATCAGCAGCCGAATAAGGCGTTGTCAATAAATCTGTCGGTCATTTTGAGTAAAGTATTTACCTGTTTAGGAAGCGAAGTGGATGAGTTAAAGCAAGTAAGCAGCTTCTTAAATTCAATATTTTTACCTGACTTTCGTTCTTAATTATCTTTTCTTGTTCGCAGTAGCTTAACATATGGTTTTTTAGGGTTTTCATTACCACTTTTAACTTTTACAGAACGGTATAGCTGATGGTTTGGCCGGCTTAGCTGCAGCTTTTCCTCCTTCTGTTTATGCTGCAGCTTGGGGTATTAATGCTCACGGTGACGCATCGCGAACTGGATTGCTTTTCTCCTTACTTTCGCAGTGTTGTATTATGCCATGTAGTTTGAAAACTATAAGTAGACTCTTTGAAGCAGTTTCATATCTGTTTGCAGGTACCTTAAAAGCTCATTCTAGTGTTCTTCATTTCAGTGGTTTGTTTCTTAATAGAACATGAGGGTTGCCGCAATTTTTAGGAGTGTGTAAAGAAAAGCTTCTTGAAACTCTAGCAGCAGATAACGATACTTCATTAACTCCTCCAAAGTTTTTGGACAAACATTTCATGGATCAACTCATTTTCTCTTCATTAAGGTTTGCCATTGAATTACTCGACAGGTATTTTTAGAGATTAGTCAGAAATAAACCGCTTTTTAGGGTTTTAAATTTGTATTATACGATAATAGCTGAACACCAGCAAAATCTCAGCCTTGCAAAGACTGCACTTTTGTCCTCCAATATGTCACCTATTCGAAAAGTTTTAAACCCTTCTACTAATAGCACTGCTGTTGTTGAACAGCGAACTCAAACTATTACAAATCTCGTTGGTACTGGGATAAAAACTTCAAAAGCAACAAGTTTTTTGCATTCTGCTGCTTTGAATGGTGTTGTTGGTCATCTTAGGGGAATGTATTCTAATTACATGGTATTAGTTTACGTTTATTTTACATCAGACTTCATCTTTATTTTTTAATATTTCCTCTTTCAGAAGCACAAATGTTTCTTCCACCAGTGGTTTTTTTTTCGTGTCTATTGAGTAATACTAACCAGAAGAAGAATTTTCCAATAGTGATTGTTTATTAATAAAACGTTTAAGGTCACCTTTGAAGTTTTCAGGAAGGTTTAGGTAAGGGCACAAAAGAGAGTTTTGTTCAGTTGTTGGTTTCCGCTTTAAACTGCCTTTCTTGCACTTTGGAAATGTCGTCGTTATCCCATATTTCATCTTTGCTAAAAGAGGTTTCCCATATTATTTTGGTTGTATAAACAAACAACAGCTATTTTTTACCGCAAACTTTGTTTTACTTGAGAACTGTTACCCGTCTTTTTAGATTTTATTTTACTGCCGCATAACTATTGATCTTGCACCTACTGAAACAGTACGGCTGGTGATTCAGTTACTCAAAGTTTTATTTGGAAGAAATGCTGCTAATTTAAATATTAAAGAATTGAGGAAAGTGTTACCAAGCAACACAAAACCACCGAAAGGCAAATTTTTTGATAATAACTTACTATATCAAAAATTTCCGAAGACTAGAAATTTCAGGAGTTTTATTTCAGATTTTTTGGAAGCATTATTGCTTCGGAACGCCAATAACTTCACTGAGTTCGTTGTGGACTCAGGTCGAAAAGACTTCTACTACAGTCATTTATTGATGTAAGTGTGATTCATAAGCTTTTCCTTAGTTAAAGTGTTAACGCTTTTTCTAGTTGTTTTTTGGACAAAAATTTTTTATCTCGTCATTTTATTCCAAACAAGACAGAATTCTTTCACACTTCAGGTGTTCTGGTTGGACCAGGAAAGAAATAGTTTGTAAATCACGCTTAACACCTGGTAACACAGTGGCTGAAACAATTGGAATTTTTGAAAATTTTGTTTCTAAAGCAATTCGTCTTTTCTATGTGTCAAATTCTTATTCATTTCAAGCCTTGGTAAGATGCCTTTAGTATATTTTTCAAGAGACTGCTCCTATGTTAACCCATCATTATTATTTTTCTTATTCACAATTTCTTGCAGATTCTCCATCTCTTATGTGAACTAGTAGCTGGGGGAATAAATTTTGCGATGTTGGACCCAAAAATGCAATTGTCAAGTTTTCTTTATGCGTTTGTGAATGAATTTGGTTCGAGAAATTGGTATTCCATTTGATGAAAGATTGAAAATTCAATAAAATTTTTTCTTGGTTTTGAGGGGTAAATTGTGGTATGCTTGTTTTATAATTTTTCTACTTGCTGTTTTTAGGTTCAATCCAAAAACCGTGGATACAGACGAAGTAGATTTGATCCGATCTGTTTTTCACTTTTTTACTCACATATCTCGTATTGAACTGGATGGACAGCTTTGTTTAGAGCCTCGGAGAATGACTGCGTTCTGCGAAGTGATGATTAATGCTGCCATAGCGAAGCCACAACTCGCTCGTTGCGGTAAATGTTTTGCTAACCTCTCTTAAATTTTAATTCTTATTTAGCTAATCATTGCCGCTATTAATTTTAGTATTACTACATTATTATTATAGTTACTGTCATTTTTATTATTTCAGCTATTATTACTGTCGTTAGCATCAATGTCTTATTATTATTATTATTATTATTATTATTATTATTATTATATTATTATTATTATTATTATTATTATTATTATTATTATATTATTATTATTATTATTATTATTATTATTATTATTATTGTTATTATTATTATTATTATTATTATTATTATTATTACTATTACTATTACTATTATTATTATTATTATTATTATTATTGTTATTAATATTATTATTATTATTATTATTAGTATTAGCATTGTTATCATTGTCATAGAACCTTGCTTGTTTGCTACAGTCAGCCGATATTAAGCAGTATTATAGCTCTTTTATTCTTTAGCACTTAACAGTTTGCAAGTAGTTCTCTTGGAGCTGTTTGCTGTGCGAAAGCGGTTTGAACAGTCTGTTGAAAAAATTCTATGTACAGCAGAACCTTTGGCTGGAATTTGTCCTACAGAGTATATGGAGATATGGGGACTTTTCATTTATAGTGCTGTGAATCATGGAGATGAGCAAAGGTTGTTTTGATTATATTGATGTGATTAACTTGCGTTTATGTGAATACTCTTTAGCGCTGCTTTATAAAATTTTTTCAGCAGATCAAAAGTTTCCTTGGTTTTCTTTGATATTTTTCAAAGAATGAGGTCTGGTTGGAGTTTTGACACTGCATTCAGCGGCATGATTGCACTGCGTTTATGCACTCCTGCAACATTTCGTCCTATTGACGTATTTTTGAGGAAATTAGTCGAAATACTGTTGTCGGAGGTGACTTTTGTGCTTTACTGACTTGAATTCAGTCTTTTTGGAAGAACGGTCGCGGTGTTTTAGGGTAGAAGAATAATTTTTTAAACGATACTTTCCCCAAAGCAAGAAAAATTATTCTTATTACCTTGAAACTTTTCAAATCTTTAAAATTTTTCTTTTGCAATTTTTATTAATTTTTCCTCTAATAGCTTTTTTTAGAGCCTGAATAGTTTTGAACGTTTACTGTACGCTTCCCCGTATCTTTTTATGTTCCTTTGTGTCATGGATGACGATTGCGTGTTACCACACATTGAACATGCTACAAAACTCTCTCCTGAAGCAGTTGCTGAGTAATTTGATACAAGTTCATTTTGCTTTTTAAATAAGTTTGAAAGGTGCATTGTAGTCTGCTTTAGATTACTAATGAAGCTGCTTTCTGGCTGTATAAATGAGTTGGAAGCGTTTGGATTACCTAAGTTGTTGTCAAATGGTGCTGAATGTTGCAGACGGTTGTCATGGTTTTTGCAAGCCCTAGCTTATGCTGTACGATCTGGTAACTGAAATTTTTTTTAGTTTTTAGTCTTTCGTTGGCTTTATACTTCTTCTTAGCTTTGCAGGCGGATTAAATTCGGTAACGGAAGCCTTTATCAAATATATTCCTGAGAGTGCTGATGCGGTATGCCGAATCGCAACTTGGCATTCTAGACTGTTTATTCCATTTCTTACTTTTTATAGTTCTCTTGGTCTAGCAAACTCTGAACTTGCTAACGACATACCCGACAAGTTGGTGGTTTTATTTTTACTCTTTTTATGCGTTAATAGTAAAATATGTAATTTTAGAAATATATTGTTGCTTTGCAACTTGGTCGAACTGAAAAGTCGTCGCATACAAGGTGTTGAAGGGCTTAGTAACGTCATTAAGAACTGTTCTGAGGATAAATTTCCAATACTTACGACGACTCTGAAATCCATTAACTTTGTAAAGTCAGTTTTTATTTTTGGTACAGCCAAGTTGAAATGATAATTTTTTTGCTTACAGGAAACTTTCTGACGATGAGAAAGCCAATTTCTATAAATACTGTTGTGAACTTTTGAATGGCTGTTCTCGAGTGAGTTCCGCAAACTTTTTTTTGGCCATACTGGTTTTTTGATGTTTAATTCTTACCTATTTAAAAGAAGTTGTAGCATACCTTCATATACCTTTCTAGTTGTTTTCATGTTAAGCTTCACCTCTCTTTGAAGTTTTGAGGGGGTCACATCATGTTACGGACTCATTGATTGTAGTTTTCATTTTATTTTCTTATAAATATTTTATTAAGTCTATGTTTCAATTCTAGTTGTCTTATAAACTGGAGATTTTGGATTTAATTGACGGTGACAAGCTGGACAGAGTCAAATTCTTAAAATCAGTTGGAGATCTCAAAGGTCGATCATATGCTCTTGATCTTTGCTTGTCATTGCTGACCCTTGATAGTGCTTCGGTAACATTTTACCACTAATTAATATAATATTTCAGTTTTTTGCTAAAATTAATTAAAACAATCCTAATTCTTAGTTCTGGCTAAAAAAATTTGTTATAGGATACCAACGTCAAAGAAGAAAAAGAGTTTTCGCAACAAAGCTCTGCAGACAAAAATAAGTGAATATTTTTCTGCTTGCAGTTTATTTTACGACTGTTTTTTAGTATGTAGTTTTATCGGGAATCTATTTTAAGGATTTGAAGGTTATTCACAGGTATTTTTGATGAAAAAAATAGAAGGGTAGATTTTATTCTAAGTTTAGGGACTTCTTATCGTCTTTCTGCTCATTAGAACCGACTACTTTTGATGGAGGATCTTTGTGCGACTTGATCATTTCCTTGATGAAAACTCCTGGTGGGCCAGCTTACCGTTTCTAGACAAATTTCTTTGTTTGCTTAATTCGCTCTAATTTTAAAAGTTTGCTGAAACACGTTTCAAGATTTTTATAAGCAGTTTTTTGCAGAAAAATGTATCACCGCCAATTGTGTATCGAGAAACTTCTCTCTCTTTGACGCAAAATGCTGTCACAGAGTTCTAAAATGTGCGGTAAGCTAATATAAAGTGGATGCGGATTTAAGAATTTTATAAGTGACTGCTTAATTTTTTTTTTTTAAATTAGAAAAGTTTTTTACTGAAAGAAGTTTCAGTATGAATGTGAAAGGTTCGATATAATAATTGCTTGTATAGAGGAAATGGAGTTGATCAGTGCAGCTGCTTTTAATTGCGGTATTTGTATTTGCTATTTACTTTCTAAATTCTAGTATAAGGTGATGTATTTGTGTTACTAAATTGTAAATTTTAATATTAGTCTCTTATTCTGGGAAGTAAAAAATTTATAGGTGAAATGTATTCTGAATATCCAGTAGTAAGCGTTCAAAAGGCTGAGGCTGTTTGTCGTATCTTTGTTGATTTAGCCTTTGATCTTACATTAGATATTTCGATGCAGCTACAGTTACAGAATAAACTAGCTGAGGTACCCTTATTTATTTTTCTTCCTTAATTTACCTGAACGCTAAAGTTCAATCGGGGGTTTATTTTTAAATTTTCAACAGTGGTTTAAGGTGGTGTTATATTTGATTAAAAATATATTTTAATTTTAAGAGTTCTTGTAAGAACTTCACGAAAGCAGCTTCGGAGTGGGCAACTGATCAGGAGCGATTCACTTATTGGTTAGACAAATATACGACTCTGTTTTCCAACATTCAAGTGGTAAGTAGAATTATACTTTACATTACCTGTCTTTTCCAATTTGCAACAAAAAAAAAGGCGAGAAATCAAGTATTTCTTACGTTATTGTTGGTATATGGTTGTTATTACTTTTTTTTTTTTTCAGGATTCGTCTTTTCTGGATCCTGTACTTTTTAATGCTGTTACATTTAGCATTAGCCAGCCGTCTTTTATAACAGCAATTGAAAATTCAGATTTGTGTACAATGATTGAGAAGCAGCTCTTACTTGGGAAAAGTTTTGCGCGGTTTGTTTCTTGATGTCCTGCTGCTTTGTTTATTTTTAAGTTGTTAATAATCGTCTTTTTCTATTCGTTATTTTAGAATCCTACAAGACCTTTCTATTAAAAGAATGCGGAAAGAAGCTAAGAGTGAAGCAGGAAGAGAAAGACTTAGTTGGGATATCGTGATGCACGATCGATCCGGTCGGAAGAATATTGATCTAGGCAAGAATATTTGTTATTTCTTTATTTTTTAGCTTTTTACCGATTAATAATTTTTATTATTTACTAAGTATGCGAGCAAGTTTATTGCTAAATATTATTAGCAGTAGCTGCTCGCTACTCTTTCTTTTTTTCTTGGACTTGTAGAACTGTCTTAGCTTGTTTTTTATTTTTTAGGTTTCTTTTCTGAGTCTATTCAGTCTGCGTTTGAATTAGTAATGGTTATTCAGAAGACATTCCGGAAGAAGTTAGTTCAGGGGCATTTGTTTGCGTCTTTGGAAAGACTTGCAAAAGGTTTTATTCTTATTCGATGCTACTGTATGATATTGCATTTAAAAAAAGAAGTACAGCTTTGTATAAAAAAAAAGCTTATTTTTCTCTTGCTCAGCTCTGTATTTAAGCCATAACGCGACTCCCTTTGTTCAACGATGTTGGCTGCATCCCACGAATGGCTCTTCTGTAAGTTTGATGAACGTTATAATACAGTGGATACTTTTATCTCTGCTAGCGCTTGTTGTTTTCCGCAAATATGTTATTTTACAGAATCTGTCATCTAATAATATTAGCTTCTGTTTAAATGAAATTTCAGAGTGCCTTATACTTGAGAGTGAACGAACTTGGTTCCGCTCTATTTGTTTTTAACAGAGATTTTAGTTGCAAGTGGAGGGTTGAATTAGAAGTTCGACACAACGCAGTTGTTGTTTCTACTGTGAATGTTCATCACTTGTGTAACGTTGATGTGTTGCGAGACTTTATATGGCGGCTGTGTTGGGCTGGTTGGAACAGAAACACAAGTTTTAGCAATTTTTCTATGTCACTTTTTGGTGTCTTGTCATCTACTCCGACAGGTTCAGAGTTACAGTCCGCTAGTTTGGTATGCTCCAGTGGTTATTCCTTTCCGAATTCTTGACAATTTTTCAGTGCTTTTTCTTGTGGGTAGGATAGGAGGTTTTGTTTGTTACGCAAGAGGAATGAGTAATTAGTGTTAAATTTGTTTGAGAATGTTACGGAACAGTTAATGGCAAGTGCCGCAGCGGTGGAAGGGCTGACCAACATATTACTGCAAACAACTTTGTTTCCAGAAAGAGGAAATTTGGTCACAGGTGCATTCCTGGTTCGACCGCGAGAAATGTCTGCAGACTTTCTTGCTACACCGTTAGTTACACGCTTTTAAGCTTCTGTGCTTCCTTAATTTCATGTTCTTCTCACTTTGCAGTTTGCGTCTTATTCTGCTTTTATCATGGCTTTTGTTGTGCGATTATGCAATTTAGATTTGGTCAGCGACTATGTATGTTAAAAGCCAGGTTAACTGATTGCGAGGTTGACTGTGTGTTCCAAAAAAATTTGGAGTTGATGAGGAATCCTCATCAGTGGTATGGTCCTGGTCATCTATCTGTTCATGCCATGTGGAATATGAGTGGAGTTCTCGACTTAGAAAGGAGGTTGTTTAGTGGGACTGCAGAATCTAATACTTCTTCTCCTAAAAAGGTAAAAGGATCATTGATTCTTAAGTTTATTTTGTTTAGCAGTTTTCTTATTTAACTGTATTGTTAAAGCTTCTAACTATTAATATCTGCCTTTTCTGCCCTTGCTTTTCTGTTGATGTAATCTTAGTTAATTTCTCTTACAGACAATGTCGAATGCTGACAGTTCATACTTGCTGCAAAGTGGACACGATTCAACAAATGAATCGTGTTTGCGAATGTTATTCGACATATATTCTCATTGGTTTCGTACAGGGGTGGACAGTGTACCTTCACCACTCCTTTCTCAGATTATAAAATCGGTATGTTTTCCAATTAAAAGTAGCAAAATCAGTTTCTCTTATCTTTTCTCAGTATCACATCTTTTTATTAAGGCAGCTAATTTATAGATGTTACTTCTGTCTGACCTGTTTATTGATTTGGAACAGTTTGAATTTGTTTTTCGTCATATGAAAATGCTGTTTGCTGCAAGGTCACACATTGAGAGTGTGGACTTAGGAAATGTAATCTGCGTTGTATTGAAGTGCGTCGCAGTCCTTGGCTTGGTAAAACATCTACTTTTTCAAATTTTTAATTGGTACTGTATTTTAAGACATATTTTAAGCCTTCTTTATGGTTTAGACATTGTAACTGAATGTTGGTAAACAGCAGTTCCGTACCGCGTTTTGAAAATTCTTGTTAGGATCTCCATAAGCGCAATTTTTTACGATCAGAACCGATTTCCAGGAGGGTGCTGGGATGCTGAAATCAGACGCTCAGAAGCTGGTCACTAACTGTATTGAATGTGGGCTTACGTCTTGTTACTCTGAAACTCGTATCCGAACTCTTCAGGGACTTTTATACATTCTCCAATCGATTAGTCATGAGGAATTGCGGACTGTCTTGACCTTTCTTCAACCTTTCCTGCTTAACGAACTGTCATTCAGAACTCCTGGCATGGATCCCGTGAACTTTGACGTGTAAGTGCCACCTGCTTGTTTAATATAAATTACTGTACTTAATTTAACAAGTATTATTTAGTGAATTCGAATCATGCGATTATGAGACGCTGCTGTGGAGTGTCAGTTTCTTTTTGTGCGAAAACTTACTGTATTCTTCAGAGGATTTCAGAGCAACTTTATTAGATGTAAGTCTGAAGAAATTTCTTGCTTCACTTTTCTTAATTTGTTCCCTGTCATCGAAATTTCTCTTTCTGTAACTAAGTTTTAATTTAAAAGTTTTGTTGGTCACTTTGGACGTTAAAAGTGTCAGTATTTTTGAGGGGGACGTAACAATGTAATGACTTCCTTAATATTTTTTAGTTTCTTCATAAAATCTTTATGTCCCCCTCATCTCCTGCCTGGTTGATGGAGCTTCTAACCTCTGGAGCTGAGCGTTTAATCGTCGTTTCTAGAACTTACATAAGTGTTTTTAACCGAATAGCTGTTCGTAAGCATTTTGTTTTTTCCTTTTCTCGAGTAGTTTTTATTTAATTTATACTATTTGTTCGCTAAAGCGAGATTGTGGTCCGTTTCAGAAACAATAAAGAATTACTTTACTGCTTCTACAAAATTTATTTTTGCACTTCGCATCGCGATGGCCTGTTTGTATCACGGGATGCATGAAGCCAATGTTCATCGAGTGGGATTAGAACCTTATGATTCTGAACTTTATTTAATGGAACAGTTTCCTGCTATTTTTAAAATGTATTTCCTATTTATTTATTATGTGCATTCAGGACTTGAGAACTTTTGACGTATCTGAATATTTTGATAGGTTTGTCACGGGTATTTGTCGATGTGTAAATTTTTTGAGTACTTTGCTCTCATTTTGGTGCTGGTCAGTGCCGCTTTAACTTTTAGTCTTGCCGAAGGAACCGAAGACGATGCATCACTGCTAATGAAAGTTTTGCCTTACTTGCTCATCGACTCTTTGAACCAAAGTGAAATTATCAATAACGTTTTAAAAGAGCTAATTCATCGCTATCCCAACCAGACGCATCCAAGACCAAAAGCTATTTTTTTAATAGTACATCATGTTAGTTTTTTAAAGTTTCGGAACTTGGAAAAATTGATGCACAGGGTTGTTGACAAGGCTGTTATAAATGTTTCAGTGGTTTGGAGTACTGCGCAGTCGCGAAACGGAAGCTGTGGTTATCGAATGGACACTTAATGGTCTCGATTCCTTCAGATATATAACCAATCCGTCATTATATCGTTTTTATGTTAATTCTTTTATTAGTTCGTCATCTGCAAATCCATATGTGGCGAGTCTGTAAGTCCTATATTCCTTAATTGATGAAACGCAAAATTTACTAATGGTACTAAGGTTATTCTTTTAGTAATCTTTATTGGTTAATACTGGCTTAATTGTGCATTTTTCAGTTTTCACATAATTGTTAATAGAAGCAGTGACGCTGTGTGGCTGGATGATTTTTGGTTTCCTTTTATTGTAAAATCGTTACTTTGTAGGGTAAAGTTATTTATAGTGTTGTTAAAGTTTAGTTACTGGGTTTTGTTATTAGCCTTAAATTAAGTGACAATTTAATGATGCACCTGTGGTGTATTTTTAACTACTAGTCACTATTTTGTTTTTTTCCATCATTCTTCAAAAACTTCATAAAATTTTCTTGTTCCTTCTTGGCTTATTTTTAATTGGTAAATCAAGTTTCAGTATTTTACTACTAACGAGTATAGTGCAGTTATTTGCAGTTAGACAAGGGAATGGCATCTAAGATTAAAGAGAAGATGGAAGTTTATATAGCGAATGGAGTTGAGCATCGGGACCTCTCTCGTGTCAAAAACTTTCCCAGTATTACACCTTCCTCCTAAAGTCTGCTCATTTTTGCACTCGGGTTTTCTCCATATCTTACTTAAGTACTCAAACCGCATGGTTTTCAACAGATTGTGATATTTTTAACTGTCTGACAAAAGTATTGGAGCTTGAAAAGACAGTTTGAATACCTGATCAATTTTGGCAACGTGTTTTATTTTAGTCTTTATTTAATTTTGAGATATTATTTATTTTCTTACTTCTTGTTTGCTGCTGTGATATCATTCTTACGGGTTTAAAGGCTTATATTCTGTTTGTACTTGTAAGATTCATAAGTCTTTCAAAAATCTGATTTATATTTCCGCTGATAAACAAAAATTATAAGATTTCTTAGTAATTGCGGTTTTATAATTGTATCGCTGTTGTGACTTTTCGTTGAACTTTTCTTGTAAATTATGTAGAAAATTTGAGTTTGGTAGTTATTTTTTATGCTAACTTTGAATGTGTAGCTGTTTAAAATCTTTTTAAAAAAGAATAGAGCATGCAATACGGTGCTTATTTACCATTGGTCTATGTGGACTTTTAGTAGGAGATTTAGACGGTTCAGTTGAAGTATCTCATACTGGTTATATTTAAAGGGAGAACTATTACATCCATGCTAAGTTTATTTATATTTCAAACATCTCCTGATTACGTTCCTGGCTTTTTTTTTTACTGCTTCTTTCTTTTTATTATTGTTTGATCAGGGGTGCTTGTTTGTATTTTATTTTACAAAAGCCATAGGGGAATGAATAAGTTTCGTTTTGGCATTATGTTTACTTTCGGTTCATATTCACCTTGCATTTTAGAACAGTAACGATACATTGGTATTGAACAACTAAAGGAACTCCGAGGGTTTGACGGCTAGTAGTTTGCATAACGGCTGCTTAGATTGAAATACAACTGGCTGATGCGAAATTTACTCTTTTTTTTAAGTTTTGAATGGTGTGCAGGGTAATGTACGGTGTAAAAGTGGAAAACTGTTGATCCAGGTGGTTTTGTGGATGCTAGCAATCTTGTCTGGAATCAAAACGGATCCACATTTTGGAACAAAAAATTAATCTATTTTTTGACGTGAGATGGTGTTTTTCTTATTATTGGTGTCTAAATCTGATTCTTTACCGAGTAATTGTAAATTACTTGTATTACCAGGAATGGGTTATTGGTAAGAGATGGATGAGTATTTCTAAGGGCATCTAGGTTGAGTGCGAGTAATTTTTCTGCTATGCAAAGACAAGCGTGTCTAATCAATTATTTTTGTTGGGAGGAAACTTTCTTCCGTTCAAAGTGCTAAAATGACGGGAGGTAATTATGGAGTTGTCTGTCGCTCGTTTTTTCTGGTTGATGACAGCATTTGTCTGTTATTTTTTTTTTTTTTTTGACCGTAATACTGCGTGCCAAATAAGAAAGAGAAAAAGGTTGTAAAATGAAATTGTTTAAAATGGGTATAATTTTGTCAATTTCGATTTTCCCTCCGTATTGCAGGTTGGGAAGAAGAGAGGATCCCAATATAAGTGATGCAGGAAATAGAGGTGTTTTTCGGTAGAAGGAACAAAAAAAATATCACTTTAAGTTTCGCCAAAACTAAGTTGCACTACATCAATCAACTGTAAAATTATCCTGAGTAGATCACAGTAAGCAATGACGGATGAGCAAAGAGTCACAACAGTTGAGATAACTGTTAAGATAACTAACTGACAATCGACTAGTTGGTCAAGAAGGAAGTCCCGATGTGAAAAGCTTCCACATTACAGAAAGACACTGAAACGAGATGAAGATGTCAATGTTGTCAGAATTCCCGTAAGTGATGGATACGCATACAGAATACCCCGCGTAAGATATAATTTAGAAAAAACTTTCTATTACTTTCTCAAAAAATCCATCTTTTTTGAATAAGACCAAGAAAAAAGTTATGAAAAATCTGAATCAAAAAACTGAAACTGCAATCCCACTGATAAAAATACCACGCACACTCAGCAGCTACAAAAGTACTATGATATCTAGGTGCTTTCTGACCGTAGGTGACGGAACGGCCTCTTTCACTGTGTTCCATATCCAATCTGTCGATGGTAACAAAGACAATAGAGTAAAAAAATTTTGATGACTGCCAGTTCAGTGGCGGAGAGGACTGGTCAGACTTTTCTGCGCTTTTCTATCCATGTGGTTTGAACAGTGGCAAAAGAGGAACGAGTAGATGAGAACGGTAGCTCTTCCGGTATGATGATCATCACAGTTCTGTCCTTGCTGCTTTGTTGACGAAACGAGGTTTGGCAACGAAGAAGTACTCGTTGCTGCTTCCTCTGAATCATGTTTACTTTTTGTGTGTGTCTGTGTATGTTTGTGTGTGCCCATGTCTGTGTGTTTGTATTTATGTCCGCGTCTGCGTAAGTTTCTTTGTCTGTCTGTCTGTGTGTTTTATATTGACGACTGTCGGAAAGTCAATTATCCCACAAATTGATTGCTCAACTTTTTTCTCTTAGTTTTTGGCGTTTTCAACTGTTCGAGCAGCAGCAAAAGTGGCTTGTTGTCGGAGTGGTTAACAAGGCACATAAATAATGTGGATTGTTAAGCTTCAAAAGTTTTTATATAGC